CGAGTCTCCTGCCTCAGCCTCCCAAGTAGCTGGGACCACAGGCACCTGCCACAACGCCTGGCTATTTTTTGGTTGCAGCCATCATTGTTGTTTGGCGGGCTCAGGCTGGATTTGAACCCACCACCTTAGGTGTATGTGGCTGGTGCCTTGGCCACTTGAGACACAGGCGCTGAGCCATTATTGTTATTTTTAAAAACAGAGTCTCACTCTGTTCCTCAGGCTAGAATGCCATGGTGTCAGCATAGCTCACAGCAACCTTAAACTCCTGGGTTCAAGGAATCCTCCTGTCTCAGCTTCCTGAGTAGCTGGGACTACAGGCACCTGCCACAATGCCTGGCTAATTTTTTTTCTATTTTTATTAGAGATGCAGTCTTGCTCTTACACAGGTCGGCCTTGAACTCTTGAGCTCAAGGGATCCTCCCACCTCAGCTTCCCAGAGTGCTAGGATTATAGGAGTGAGCCACAGGGTTAAAATCATTATTCTTACCAACTGTTTTTTTTTTTTTTTTGAGACGGAGTCTCACTATGTTGCTCTTGGTAGAGTGCCATGGCATTATAGCTGACAGCAACCACAATACCTGGTTATTTTTTTGTTGTAGTTGTCATTGTTGTTTAGCAGGCCTGGGTCAGGTTCGAACCCGCCAGTCCTGGTGTATATGGGCAGCACCCTAACCACAGAGCTACCGGCACCAAGCCTATTCCTACCAACTTTTGATATTTTGGTGTATTTCTACCTGCATGTCATTTTCTTTATATAGCAATAACCATAGTATGTGAACAGATACTCACATACTCACTTTTCCCCTCACTTTATAAGAATGTTGCTATGTCATCTTCATAACACATTTTTAATAACCATGTATATGTATTCCAAATTATTTAACTATTCTCCCATTGCTGAATATGTAGACTATTTTATTTTTAGATACTGATACTTTTCTGGTCATTATAACTGTTTTTCAACTTTTGGATTATTTTCTTGAGAGAGAGTTCTCAAAGTGAAATTACTGGATCAAAAGTAATTTGACCACCACCTAGGCTGCAGATGGGCTAATGGAGGAGCTGAGAATCTGCATGCTTTTCATGTCCTTTAAAAGACAGAGACTTCTGTCACTGCCAAGAAAGGGAAGTATGAGCAGCTTGTGCACCCCACAACTGACTGCCTGATCTCATCAAGAAGGGCTCATTTCTCCTGTCACAGGCTTACAGTGCCCTTTTCCTGCTTGAGCTTTCTTGTGGCGCAGATTGCCCCAACTCTCACTATCACAGCCAGCACATGAACTCAGGGAAGCTTGAGGGCAAATTTGGCAGCTCAGCTCAGTTGGGTCCCTCTAGGACTCAAGGGTGACATGTAGGGGCCTGAGAATGGGATTACCTAACCTAGTCAAATACCACTATCGTTTAAACACCCTCCCTGTGGGGGAGGTCAAATTCACCCAAATCATCATCAGCAGCACATTGGTACCTACCTATAGGAGCTGGAAGGCAGTGTATGTCTCCCTCTCTATACTGAACAGTAGAGTTCCTACCAAGAGACCAGATGACTGTAAAACTGCCTCTTTTGAGCTGCAAGAAGAGGTTCCAGATGAGAAGGAAACAGTGTAAGAACTCTGGCAACATGAAAAAACAGGCTATTTCGACATCCCCCAAAAGATCGCACTAGTTCTCCAGC